AGACCAATTGAAATGTCACTGAAGGAGCAGCAACAGCCAGGAGTCAAAGCATATGGAGGTATTTGTATGGCTGCAGAGAAGGCAGCTGGTTAACCACAAATATCATTTTTACAAGTGCATTTATTGTTGTCATCTGATGAATTAAAAACAGGAATGTAGTTACCACACAAGGAACACTCAAATGATATGCTACTGAACCAGAAATGAGCTACATAACATGTAGAAAATAAGCTATAATGCTCAGCTGTCATTGTTCCCCTGATCTCATCACATTGATACAATGCTTAGCCCTGAACAAGATGCACAGGCAGGCCGTGCAAAATGTCTGTTATGAATAAAATGAATATTCCTTCAGAGCATTTTGTTTTGAAGGCAGATAGTGACTTCGAACTACTACGCACTTTGGAATTTTCCCTTGCGCAGGTTGCAGAAAACATGGAGAAATGTCACTTGCTTTTTTAGACTTCCTTGGTAATAATAGGGAAGCTTTTTTGTAGCAGTCTCTTCAGCCTTTCCAATGATGCTGTTAGCTGTTGTGAGGAATCCTGACCCTGTCTGTCCTCCTGCTCCTGCCTTTGTGAGAGCAGATACGGAGGACTACAGTAATTCTGGAGGCAGCTACAGGTCCCTACATGGAAGAAAAAAGTGTCAGGTCTTTTCTTGCTCTTCTTAACCGTGCTGAAGGCAATACAGACTTCATCTTGTCTGAATGCACAATTCGGTGAGCACGTGTTCACTATCAGTGGTTCTGAACACAAGATAGTATATATTAAGTTGATGATCATTATAGGACTGAACTTGTAGATGCACTGATGAGCAGTCTTCTGGCTTCCTTGTAAATCTACATGGAAGTTCTCTATTGTAAGATGCTCTAAGCATTTTTGAAGAAAAATGAACTTCACTGTCACTTTTGTAAGTGGAGAATCTGAGACCCAGAAAGACGTAAGTGACTTTCCCTGCCTCATTTAGTGGAGTGATATTATCCACAAAAACATAATTCATGATTTCCAGGCCCTCTCTCTGTCCTAGCTGCTACACATGCTACCCAAGAAGACCATTTGCCATGTCACCATCAATGCATATCTGTCTAACACACTTTCTCCATCTATACAGCTTTTGTTTATTATATTCCTCACTTCCCTATCTGTGGGGAATAACAACACTTCGCTACTTCAAAGGAGTGGAAAGAATAATTGAACTCAAGACTCTGCAGTGTGCAAATATGGTAGTGGACTCCTTTTAAGTACCAAATATTGTTAATAAGAAATACAACTGTTATGTTTGGAAACTCTACCCTTCTGTGTATAAACTGTGCCATTTGAATTCTGTACATTAATTCCTTCAAATATACTGTCCTCCCTCTCTTTTCAGTGCAGACAAACAGAATGAAAGACACAAACAGTAGGACTATCAGAAGCTCACATTGTATATCTGCAAAATAATTGCATTCAACACCAACATTTTCTATGTGGTATGCTGAACAGAATTGCACCAAAGTATTCTGAGCATTCCTGTACCTCTTGATAAGCATCTGCAGGACGTCAGTCAAGCTTTCCATCAGAACGATAACTTCAGCGTAGGTTAAGTCTCCACAGGGTTTGCCATTGATAGACACCACCTCATCCCCCTCACACAGGCCAGCCTTAGCTGCTTTGCTTTTGTTGCGAACCTATGAGTCAAAAACAAAATTCCATATTGCACATTTAATGTTCATTTGAAAGCAGCAGGAAATATGTCCCCAACTTAACTTTGTACAAAAAAAAAAAAAAAAAAAACAAACAAACAAACAAAAACAAACAAAAAAACCACACACAGAAGCTAGGGACAGCAGTCAGTTAGCATCTATCAGAAAGGCAAAAATCTCATTAGCTTCTCCCAGAATGGAAGACTGCTAAGCCAAGATTTCAAAAGAAGAATATATAACTTCAGGCTGTTTGGGCAGAATTTCAGTATCTGCTTGCTGTTAAAGCTACAGGTTTACAAATTCCTGGTATATTGGACACTTTTCCTTAGATGCTCAACTAAAGGTTTAGTTGCCAAATTATATGGCTGAAGAATGGCTGAAGATCCTAAATCCATGTTTAGTCATCTGAATAAGTTCTCTGATTTAATAAAGATTAAGATTCCTGTTATGGTTTAACCTCTCCCATTAAGTACTCATTCAAGAATCTACACTGTTTGTTTTTTCCTGTTTCACTCTTTTTTTCCACTGGCAGCATGTTATAGCTTATCATAGTTTTTATATAACAAAACCTAGACAGCTTCAACACCACTCACATTATACCCACAGTTGACTACTAGTTTTAAAGTACATATTTGGCAAACAGTACATTATATTAACCAGAATGCTTGCAGGAGTACTTTACTATGACTTATACTCTTATAAGGGCATTCGATGGTTTAAGATGTTATCCAGTCTGTTATGAGGGTGAATAAAATCATCAGAGCTTTTGCTTGGAATTTTTTTTAGAAGTAGCATAGATCTACCACACTTAAGGCAGCAGAGTCAATCTCTGTTGACTCGAGAAGAGCACATTCTCATATATACTGGACTTGAGGGTGACGTATTCCCATGGACTTATAGAATTATCCCTGGTATCCTAACAGGCCACTAGACTAGTGCCTAGGAAGCATTTCTGAAGGCTGTTCTGAAGTTTCTTGGAGTCCGAACAATGTGTGGAATAAGTGAGATTGCACTTTTTTTTTTTTTTTTTTTTTTTCCCCCTGTGGTGGGGCCATAGATCTTTGTTGTTTCAATTTAAGCATATCTGTATGTCATATTATGGCTTTTTGAGCAGTGAAAAAACAGATGGCTCATGCATACAGAAGCTGGTTACTACCTTGCAGAGGAGTTAACATTTACAAATATGGAGTGGTATGCTGCTATGTTTATCTTCCCCTAGGCAAGAGCATAAACATCCTTGTACTTTGGGAAGAAATGGCAGTTTAGATAGTGTTTAGTATTTTACTTTATATATGAGCTAGGATTTTGGTTGATTTTTTGTTGCTGTTTTTTGAAATAGGCAGGTATACTATTAAAATTGTACAAGGCCTGTATGTAAATATTTAATGTGTACGCTAAGAAGAATTTAGAATGGCTTTTTTTCAAAAGACACAGCAACATGTGAATACAGAAATAATGTAAGATGATACCAACAAATGTGAGAAGAAAACTTGTTTCTGTTTCTTTATTAAGTGCCTGAGAATTTGGGATTAGTCTGCCACAGATTATCTTTGCAACTGTCTCAGAAGAGAAATTGTTACCCATTATTCCATACTTTCAGTGATGTATGTCAAAAAGAGAAAGTTCAAATGTACAGTGTTAATATATCTCTGTCAATTATTGGACAGCGCAGATGGTTTCATTATTTCTAATAGTCTCCTAGGTAGCATTCAAAGAAAATAGAGACACTGAAGTTTTTTTTACTGTTCTTGAAAGGGCCCCTTAGTCCATTTTGCTCCCTGTTGAATTCTTGAAAGATCACAAGCTGTGAGATACTTGGGCCTATATAGGAGAACTCAGCACTGGCTATGCTGGAAAAAAATTGCTGTAAGTCATTATTTTTCATGATCTGGTATCTTCATGATCAGTTCATATGCATATTAGAGCAAATTTTCTCTCATTATTTTATTTCCAGGTTTATCTGCATACATCAAACCTTTAACATGATTTTACCATGACAAGATCACGCTGCACATGCTGTACCTGTTAATGGTTCTCCTGACTGTATGTCAGCTTTTTCCCCAACCTCAAGATAACATCAGTGTTATCTTCTTTTTGGGGTTTCTGTTGGAGAAATAAAAGGGGAAGGTGAACTACAGCACCTTTTATAGTGAATTGTAGCAGATTAATGGTAGAGTGGAAAAGTACCATCATTTTAGTCTCAGAGTAGGACCAGACTACTCAGCTAAACATAGACCTCCTTACCAGACACCCTTGATTGTTTCGGGTGATTTTTTGTTCAAAGAGATTCTTCCTATGTTGCACTGCAGCCCAGGCCTTTCCAGTTACTTGTTGCTTCTTTCTGCTTTGGGCTGGACTTTTCTTTGGGAGGGAAAGGTGGGGCTTTTTTACCCTAAAATTTGTGAATGGGATCTACTAAAAAAATTTTCTTGATTTTTCAGTGCTTGCAGTGCTGAGCCTGTAACACTTGTGCTGAACCTGTCTAGACAACAGTTGCTCCTGGGGAATGTTGAAGCACTTCAGACTTGTTTTTTTACTTTTCTGCTCCTGTCTCGGCCAGGACTTTTTATTATTGAAGTTTATACTGTATATTATATATAGTATAGTACTACAGAGGGCCGATCTGAGAGTTATGCATCCTGTTATATTATGTTGGCCCATGATGTCAGAGGGAGGAGGTGATGGTATGACAGTAGATGTCGAACCCTCTCACCAATATTCTGTTACATGTTGTTGCAGTGTGACAGATGACAGCAAAGTAGCAATCTGAGAAAATGGCATCCAATATGGAAGTGTGTATGGAGCAAAGGTCTATCACTGAATTTCTCCATGAGGAAAAAATTGCATCTACTGACATTCACTGATACTTGCTGAGTGTTGATGGAGACCAAATAGTGGCTGTGAGCACAATGAGGTGGTGTGCTTCAGCAGTGGTGACATCGGCTGTGGGTCATCTCCACTAATGCAGATTGTTACAAGTGCAGCACGCAGGCTCTTGTTCATACCTGGTGAAAATGCATAGCTAACGTTGGGCCTCTGCTGAGAAACAGTGTTCTGTAGCTGATGGTTTGCGCTATCAAATAAAGTTATTGTGCTCTTTGTATCTATAGTAATTTCCGTGGAAATAAATAAGAAGCATTACTTTTGGAGGAACCTATGTGAACTATAGTATTACATATAATACAGTATTAGCATATGATTTGTATAGTAATATAGTAATATTGTTCAATATATTATTATTTATTACTCAAGTTGTATATAGTGCAGTGATTAAATTGCTTTATTTTTCTTTTAAATTACAGTTTTTCCAGTGAAGTGGCAATGAAGTCTGGTGGAGGGTTTCTCATTCCCCTCACCTGGCACCTCATCACCCCTCATCATGGGGGTGGGGCTTGGGCTGTTACCAGCATGTTCAGGATCGTCTGTCCTGGAGCTGGAAACTGTAAGTAAGATTTTGGGAAGATCTTGACTGACAGAAACTTGACTTAATACAAGATTATTAGTCTGAAAGGCTGATAGCAGAAAATACATTTATCTCTTTTTCCTTCGCTTGTTGGGGAAAAAAATAAGTGGCACAGCAGCACCAGGAAGGAAAAAGACAAAGCACAGGTCCCACTGAGATGGGGTTGTGGGTCTTTATGTAGTAATGTACTGGTGAGAGGTAACATCTCAGAGGCACTTTCTTCTCAGTGGAAGAAAGCACGCTGTGTTAGCTAACTCTGGGTTTGTGGTAGCTGTGGCATGCTGATAGGTCTGGGGCAGTCCTTGGTGCTTGTAGCCAGCAGTAGTTAGTCACTTTCTTATCCAATGAAAGATGAATAAGCAAAGGGAATACACTGTGACTATTTTTGCTGTAGTATGTGGTAAAGGGGAGGTTTTGTAGAGAAAGCTAATGCAGGGTGCCTTATAGCATTTTTACTTTAGACAAACTCTAGTCTCGTTATATGGCCTGCAGACCCCTTGCCTAACTATTGTGTATTAGATGTGCTCCTTTCATTTTATCTGAAACCAGTTCAGTTTATACAACTCAAAAGCGTTCCACATTGCAAATCAACATGTGGTAAAGGATAGCAGGGAAACATGCTGCAAAAAATCTAGCCCTGATGAAGCTAAATTAGATTCACCTGTTATTTACTGTGGGCTGCAGGTGGATGCATAGAAAGCAATTTGGGCTCAAATTACCAGCTGACAGTCTTGGTTGTGTATCTGAGTCCTGTAGTGTGCAGATCAAAGAGTTGAGGTATGCTGAATCTGATAATAACGTCATTGGATTGTAGCGTATCATAAGGTAATTACATGTGAGGACACTCAGTAGTTCTTTCAGTTGCCCTAATACAAAATGTAGTAGAAGATTTCATAATCTTGTTTTTACCAGTGACTTCTTATAAGAGTATATCTAAATCTTATTCTGGTGTGCTTTTGGGATTACAGTTCTGTATCTTAGAGAATCTAAATTAGGTGCTTCAGCTGTAGCCTGACTGAACCTTTTTTCTGAATGAGAAAATAAGCAATCTGGGCATGAACATAATTCTTTTACTCTCTACCTTTATTTTTATTAAGTATGCTTTTTGTGGCTTTAAAACACACATATGTTTGCATAGAGATATCCTCAATTTAAAGCGAGCTTTCTGAAACTTAAATTATTTTCACGGCATTCTACTGATCATTTTCCAGTTTGTCTGCAGGAAACAGATAACAAAACAGAAAATATTGCCCTTGGATGTAGTGGAAGTGCACTTCTCCCCTATTGACTATCTTTTTCTCATGCACATGGCATTGGTTTTTTTATTTTTTTATTTTTTTATTTTTTATTTTTTTATTTTATACTTTCCAGAAGTTATATTCCTCATTAACTGATCAGCTTCTTATTAGTCATAAAGTTCAGGATCAGGAATCAAAGGCATAGCACTTAAGAAACAGAATGAAAAAGCACTTCATCTATTTTATTATTATCTCCACAGCAAAGACAGAGGCTTGAAATCATATTTAAATATATTTAAAAGTTGTCTATCAGTCTAATAGAATTAACAATGTACAATATTTTCTTAGGAAGCAGAAGCACTGAGTGGCACAATTACTAGTGTGTTAGTGGTTCTAGTAGTATGAAATTAAGAAATTCAATATTAAGCTATAAATGCACTTAATTCCAGTACTGATTATCAAAAATTTGGGCCTAGGACTTTGTTTTACTTTGTTTATACAACATGGAAGTCTTTTAGACCAAAAAAGTAAGCTTTAGTTAGCAAAATTTTTTGAGACAGAAACATCTATACGGTAACTTAAGCCTACCTGATAATGGGTTTGGGATTTTATTCTAAACAAAGGGGCCTGATATTTTTAGCAGGCCAGAGTTCAAGCTTATAGGTCAGATCTTAAGCACATATGCCATTGAGATAGCATGGTGTCACACTAATGGTGCAGACAAGACTGAGATGTCTTGTCTTTGTAGAGATACTCAGTGTATGGATTATGAAAATCCATAATGGCTACATAAACTGTATTCTTATAAAAAATATCTTTAGATGGCATATCAAATGTCAGTGTTTTCATTAGCCATACCTGTATCTGAGTTTTGAGTCTGCTGCACGACATGGCTCAAACCAGTTGTATCTGCACTGCCTGAAGGTAAGTTTATATTAAGTTTATAACATTCCCCCTCACTTCTGCATTGAATTTCCTCACTAGATGAGCCAGTTTCTTTCAGATTCAATCACAGAAAAAGCCATCATAAGAAGCCTTTGGGCAGGGCAAATTCAGTAAGAGTATGAGATCCAAACTCCTGGTCCTGCTAACCTCTCTGAAATCGTGGGCATGCAGTAAGGGTGCTTGTTTCTAGAGCATGTTAGATGTTAAAGTTGGAATGCTGTGACTTTAGGTAGTACAAATCATCCAGTTTCCTGCATGTTATAATTCACTGAGTCCTATTTTTTGAGAATATATGTAGAATTTGTACCATAAGACTAGTGAGATCATGCAAAAGTCTGTTAAATAATTGGGTTGAACAAAAGTACTGCTAACTATCTCATGAATGTTTTTGAATAATTAAGTATCTTTGGTTTGCAAGATAAGCACTGAAATATTACCTATCACCAAATTCTTTCCAATAGTCAGGTGCAGGGGAACTGATTTGTTACAGCTTGAACTGATGACTGAGCACCTGGTGGAGGGGGTGACTGGCCCAGAAAGCATAGCTGCAAGCAATTCACCTGTGCTTCCCATGTGACTGGAAGGGGTGGCCCCTGTGTGTATCCCTCCCTGGTCTCATTTAAGGGCTAGTTTTCAAAGGGAGGAGGCCTCCTGTTTGAAAGCGGCTTCCTGAGAAGAATTGTTCTGTAGCTAGAAACCCTCTTTGCTCATCAGGTGAGTCATTTCTTTATGTGACTTTTGATATTTCTAAATAGGCTTAAACAGTCCCTTGATGTAGGAGAACTGTTGGATCATAGCCTGAATTGATGACTGAGCGCCCAACAGAGGCTGGCCCAGGTGCTGACAATTTACCTGTGCTTTCCATGTGATTGGGAGGGCTGGAGCCTGGTCTCCCACCAACCCCCTGTTGGGCTCATTTAAGGATTAGGCTCTGGAGGGAAAGTGTCTCCTGACTGCTTCCCGAGACAGAATGTTCTACAGCCAGAGACCCTCATCACCATCTTGGTGAGTCAACTTTTTTCCTGTATGTGACTATTGGTGCTCTCAATTATACCAAGAAGGTGTTCTGGTAATTCCAGGAGGTGGGGCAGGGTACTGCTTTTCAAGCTCATAGAAGTGCTGCAATAGGATTGTCTCTAGAAAAGTTGAATGATGTTATAGGATTATGCTAGTTTGTGGCAAAGTATGTGACATAGGATGTTACGCTATGTTAAATGAAGGCACTTCTTAACTTTATAACTTTATAATCAGTCTAGTTGCCTGAAAGGTTCTGGGTTCATCTACCAACCCATAGCTCAAACAAAATATTAATTAAGATTTAGTCATGTATAAATGCATGGGTCAAACTTATAGAGAATGCAGGATATATGATCTGATTATTGATTTACTTGTTGTACAGCTGTCTCCAATTAGTCCTTCTGTTGCTTTTTGTGTTTGAGGTTCAGTGTACTTTTAAACAGGTTACCTCTGCTGGTGCAGATGGTTACAAGCACAGCATGTAGGCTCTTGTTCATCACTGGTGAAAATTTGCTGATGTTGGTGCCTATGTTGAGGAATAGTGTTTTGTAAACGAGAGTTTGAGCTCTCAGAGATAGTGTTACTGTGCTGTTTGTATCTGCAGTAGCTTCTATGGAAATAAATAGAAAGCATTACTTTTAAAGGGCCTATGTAGGCAAAGGTTCACTTTTCCTCATGGTTTCTTTGACAAATGCAGAAGAATCAATTTGTTTGGTACAGCTTACAGGCTGTTGTCAGAGTTAAATAAAATGTTTGACCATCTAAATCTTGACCAAGTCCTTGTGACTTTTGGAGCCAGAGAGCTGACTAATCTCAGTGAAAAGAAAAGCTTGCTCAAATTCCCAAAACTCATGCACTAGTGTATCATCTTGCTAGTCGTTCTCTGGCTTGCCGTTCTCTGGCAGAAATTCAAAAATAGCAGCTGAAGAAGGGATGAGATAATGATCTCTGAAATATTGATCTGGTATGCTGGCGACACAGCAGATTTCCCAATAGCAAGCTTGGGTACAGCACTTGACGTTCTTACTCATTTTGCACAACAGTTCTAGCATATAGCCTGCCTAGCTATGGATTATACTTTCACTGGGGTGTACTATTCTGTACTAAGTACCTCGTGTCAAAATTAAAATGTTTATTTTCTTTTTCATTAGTGCTGTGTATGACTTGGTAAATATGTGACAAGAGAAATGCCACCTCAGTAGTGTGGCTTTTCTTTTCCTGCTCTGTTTTCCTTGTTGCCCTGCTTAAATGGTGACTGACTGAATGCTTTCTGGCTTCTTAAATCTTTAATCAACTTTTGTTTTTTTTCTTGAGCATTGTAGCTGTGTTCTTTTTATTTTCTTCCTTGTGTTCCCCATGTGCAGAGGAAGAATTGGATTGTCAGTGCTTCTTTATTGGGTTCTTTGTTATATAGCTAGCATCAAAATTCTTTTCCATTCAGTGTATCTTTTGGTCTGGAAAAAGAACTTCTATGGTGAGTCTTGACTAACAAGAGGCTAATATGGTTGTGTACCTTTGAGAAATGTCTATATCAATCACTACAGAGCAGTTGGTAATAAGAATAAAAGCACTACAACATACTGTGCTTATGGTAAGCATACCTTCTGCATAATCTTGATATGAACTTGTCACTGATACAGCAGTTCCACTGCCATGTATTTGCACCATTAGTATGATTTAAAGACCATAGGCTAGGTGTTTCCAGCAGAAAAAGCATCTCATTTCCTATTCTAAAATTGCAATCAAAAGGCAGGTAAATGAAAGGTAAATACAAAAATC